TCCCACTCCCCCTGCTTGTGTTCCCTCTCTCGCTGTGTCTCTCTCTGTCAAATAAATAAATAAAATCTTTAAAAAAAAAAAAAAAATCTCATTTTTGTGGAATGACCCAAGACAAGAGTAATTTTGGAGAAGAATTTTCATTAATTCACAGGAACAAATCCCTCCCCCAACACAAAAAGTGGTAATTCACTCTATAAATTTCTTTTTCTTTTTTAAGCTAGAAAATACTGAACACGTAGCAGGTGTTCATTCAATCCTTATAGCACCCAATAAGGTACATGTTCTTATTTTATAATTGAAGAAATTAAGGCTCAGGCAGTTTAGTTATGTTGTTCAATACAGCTAATAAGGGATGGTAGTAGGACCTGAACTCAACACTGCCTGGGAGTTCATTGCCGTGACATGGTGCCACCGCATCAGAAACAACAATAGGAGACACACTGGCATGGGGCCTCCATTTTCTCTCTACTGATGCATCAGGCGACAAAACCGCCTCACTAAACAGAGCAATGTTCATAATCATCATGCCTCTACTTTTTTACCAATCACTTCAACTACATAAGTCATGTATTTCTACGAGAGAAGTAACTTGATTGCTTTTACAATAAATATATATAAATAAATATGTGTGCAAATGAGATTGCTTTGCTTTTCATTGTACCTTCTAAAGACTGACGCACAGATCACATCTGTGTACTAAGACAACCAGTGTGTTTCCTGGTGCTCCACACAACCACTGTATTTAGTATGTACATCAGGAAGGGCACTGACTTTACTTTCATACTTAAGCTTTTATAAGTCTGTCTCTTTTCACAAAAGGAAACAAGGCATCCTTTGTAATACAGCAGAAACATTGATCCATTTTCAAGTCTGAAACTTGTTATATACAATTAAGTGGCAATAAATTCAGCCTCATCCAGGTTAAGGGCGTAGGCACAAGGAACCAAAGTTGAGGTGTTCTCCTGAGACTGCTAACAATTCACCTTCAACACCAGGACAAAGAAAACCACACTTCTTCAGTAGCCATTTTCTGGCTCTACCCGACTGCAAGTTTCCCACCCAACACAGAGTTAACAATATACAATACATTTTCATTGCTTCAGTTAATGCAGAAAAAAAGCTAGAAAATTCTTAGGGCAACCTGCAAGAGGAACTCAAATCAACCTTGTAAAGAGCGCCCGTCTCTGGTTCTATACTAATTGCCATGTAAATTAACAAAAAGCACAGCCCCACCAGCAAGGAAATGTTTTCTTCACAGACCATGAGCAAAGTAGCCCCAGAAGCCCGAATAACATCATGCCTGTTTCTTTAGACAATAAAATGCCAAAGTTTTTCTTTTGCTGTCAGCAAATGATGAATACATGTGGTACCAATTATTTAATACCACTAGACCACCAGGGAAGAAGATTTAGGTGAACTGCGGCAGAACTATGCCATTTATTTTTATTACCATGCATTAAAAATTACGTTTACAGATAATTGTTTTTCTCCTTCCAATAAAGCAAGATAAAAAAAAAATCCAGAAGAATATTTAATAATACTGGACCACCAGGGAGGAATTTTTAAAAGTTGATTTTTTATTGAAAAATTAGATTTGCTTTTTTAAAATTTCCAATTATTTTTAAGTGCAATTTGTGAAGAAATTATTTTAAACAAGGGCAGTATGAATTTTCTGCCGGGGGAGTGTGTCACAGATTAAGTTACTCTTTTAACAAGGATAATTACCTAATCAAATCACCCCTCAGAACCATCAGTTTTAAAATACTTGTGTAACTGACTGCGTGTTTTACAATTCTGTTCCACCACACGTCACATTCTCGTGGTTTCTATTTGAGTCCGTGTTTCCAAAATCCCCAGATAAAATAAACTCTTGATTTTTTTTTTCTTCCCAAAAGCACTGTAGTAGATTGGGAAAAACTTCTATTTACCAGTTTCTTCTAAAAGGAGAATGGGAAGTAAAAGGAGAAGCAGTAGCAGCAGCAAACTGGAGAAGAAAAGAACAAAACAGAGGTGGGGGGAGAGAAAAAATCAAAAGGAAATTAAATTCGTCTTCACACAATAGTTGCAATGATAATCTCTCTACACTTCAGCTGACATATTTACAATTAGGACAGGAAGTAACTGTTTCTCTCTCCCTCTCCCTCCCCCCCCCACCACCCCTCTCTCCCTCCATCACTCCCCTCTCCCACCCTTTCTCCAGAGTGCAGAGCCCTACAATTAAAGGGGACTTTAGAAGTCTTCTCGGCTCATCCCCCATCAAGATCAGAATGCCCTCCCTGCATCCCTCCCAGATACCAGCCTATCATGTCAAAGCATTAGCTGATTTGCCCAAAAGGCGGGTTGCTTTGTTGCCAGTGGACACCCCCTACGACGGGAGAAGTCCCGTCTCTCTGTAGCTCTCACTTTGGGTCCGAGGCTGCTCTTTGAAGCAATGAAACAGAAGAGTAGTTCTGAGACGACTGCACGTCAATGGCCAAGCCACGCCACCCACCCCTGCACACTATGCACATGCACAACTGCATGTGACAAAAGCAGACCCTGTGTTCTGCACTAAAATCAGTCAGGGAGGAAGTGGGACACACGGACACACACACACCCCTCACGTCTGCTTTTCCAAAAGGAAAGCTGCTTCCCAGTTGTTCTCAGGATAGAAGAAGAGACCAGGGCCAGAGCCAGGCAAAACTATAAAATCATTCGAGGATGTCTTTGGATCCTTCCACTTCCTCTCCAATTTGTAGATTAAGGTGTTAAGTCCTTCACAGTACTGTTTGCTAATATATCCTAATTTTATTAAGTAAGTTTGTCAAAGAGTAGACCAAATCACCCCATTTCTTGCGGAGTTCATGCCTGTTCACATGATAATTCTCAGGATGCGTCTCCTCAGTGACTCAGGTTTGCTCTAGAACTACCAACATGCCCTCATGTGAACCAGCAAACCGTATTCAGGGCCAAAAGCTGGGTCTGTCTTGAGAGGCCAAGAATGTTTACCTCCAATGTAGGACAGCTTCGGATCACACAGGGACTCTCCTGGTGACGACACCATCTTAGGATAGTTTCCTTTGCTACCAGGTAAGTTAGCTTGCTGCGCTCTGTTCCTTCCAGACCAGAAACTGTACAGGCTGGCTGGAGACAGGTCTGGTCAGGGCTGATGGGCAGTGAACCTGCTCTAACAGTGTGTAGGCCCCAGGCGGTGGGAGCAGCGAGCGACCGTGATAAGGCTCCGAAAGACGTGTGGGCATGGCCTGCCCCTCACGCTGGGCGCTGACAACAAGCGCTTCTGACTTCAGAGTACTCAGTCTTCTCTGCTGCCATAAAGTCAAAAATCACCTGCCTCTTTATTACTTCTGTCTTTCGAGGAAATCGCTCACCCTTCCACTCCACTAGGCTATTCTCCTGGAACATAAGGCTTCAGACCTCACTTCTCTGGTTTCCACAAGCAGAGACCTAGAAGCTCTGTGTGCCTCCAAGCAAAGGTTCTAAGAAGGAGTAGAGCGGTCAAATGCAAACCTGATCTTGTCAATTCTCCTGCTTAACACACTTTTGTGGTTCCCTACTGCCCATAGGGACAACTGCAAACTCCTGCCATGGGCTTCCAAGGCCAGCCTGTTTCAAATGAATCCCTCAGGTACTTGATTTACAAGGACTTAACAACCTCTGAACTTTCGCATATACCGTTTCCTTGCCAGGCCTCTACTAAGAATTTCTCCCCATCTTAATCAGCAGGAGTAATATAAAAACCCTGACAAAGGTAGAGCTCTAAGAAGGAAGTGGATAACTGTGGGAGGCAGCATTTTATGTCTGGAACAAACATTCCCAGATTTTTGTGTTTGCGGGATTTCATTACCAGAAGAGGAAGAAAAAGAAGGAAGACGAGGAGAAAAAGGAAGATGAGGAGGAGGAGGAGGAGAAGGAAAAGAGGAAGAGGAAGAAGAAGGGGGTGAGGGGGAGGGAAGGGGATGGGGAGGAGGAGGAGGAGGAGGAGAAGGAAAAGAGGAAGAGGAAGAAGAAGGGGGTGAGGGGGAGGGAAGGGGATGGGGAGGAGGAGGAGGAGGAGGAATAAGACAACAAAACCAAACCAAGGGAGGATGAGGGTTTCGGGCTGTCAATGTCAGGCATGCTCGGAGAACAGGGGATGTCCCTGTGATGGCTCAGAGACAGTGTTTGTCTTCTTGGCCACCTTACTATGGCCACACAGACTTGGAGAGATGAAGGTGGTTTGCAGAGAACAAATATCCTATATGCTGGTGGTCAGATGGAGCTCATCCTTGCTTATCCTGGGGGGATCTGAAGCCGCTGAGTGGCCTCCCCCCAGCAGGTTAGGGGGTACCCAAAGAAGGTACCCCATCAATTGACAAAGATATTCTGGATCTGCTGGTGCACTGCTGAATGTCTGGTTCTCAGATCACCCTATGAATACATGGGCCAAACACTTTCTTATTATCAGCTCGACACCTTTTTCAACTAGCTTGCAAAAACCTAACTTACTAGAACACAGGCCACTAAACTGGAAATCAACTACAACTGAACTAACATAGTAATAAAGCTACTACAACAATAACAAAAACCAACGTGCTTCACATTCGAATGGTGCCTCCCAAGTTAAAAGACTTTCACAAACATCATCTTACTTGAAGATGTAACCCTGCCTCACAGCCCTACTGTGAAGCATGTGACCTTCTCCCCATATCACAGGTGAGAAAACTGAGCTCTGGAAGCAGAGATGCCTGCCTGAGGGCCACATAACTCACAAGTGGAGTCAGTACTCCAAGTTCATGTCCTCACATCAGCTCCTGTGCCCTTTCTGCTATACTCTGCTGATTTTCACCAGGACTGAAATCAACAGCAAAGCAATTAAGTAGAGGTTTAATTAAAACACAGTTCAACAAGTGTTTATTCAATCTCAGCTCTGTACCTGCACATGGCATCGCCCCAAACATCTCTCAAAAATCATGAGACCCTCGTGGCATTCAGTTGTCTAGACTCCTGTTTTATTAAAACAAAATACATTATGCAAAACAGTTATAAAAATTGAGCATATTTCAATGTTTAGCATTAACAAATTAATGTGCTGAACACACATACACAGTTACAATGACTGAATATAGATAACTCACTTGGAAATAATGTCCCAGTCTAAAGAGCGTTTAGTAGGTCAAGGTGAGACCTTCCTGGCCCTTGGGACAGATTCTACCTGTGCTGGGAAATGCCTAATTCACTGGAGAATCCAAACATTTTTTAAACTCTAAAATGAATTTTAAACAAAAAGATAGGACTTCAGAGAACTTTTATTAAATTCCCAAACTGCCTAATAGTTGCAATTAATAAATACCAGTGAGCATTTAAAGAGCACTGGAGTAGGAGTCTAGAGACATAGGTTCTAGACCCAACTGTCCTGCGGAAGCCAGGAAACCATAATGGAGCCCCTAACTTCCCAGGGCTTGATTCTCTCATCTGTCCATCCACTGCGGACTGTGCTGTGGGAGACACTTACAGCTTCGTGTTCTGTGATTTGAGTGCCCATCCCTGGAGAAGCTCCTTCCTGGTCCATGAACTAAAACTAACGATCGCTTCAAGCAAGCAATTCTGTAAGACTGTGTGAGAAAAAGAGAATTGCAATCACCAAAACAAACAAGTCCTGACTTCAGAGACCAAGCTCCACCAAATAATGGCAAACAGCAGTAACTTAAGGCTCACTGCACCCAAAAGGGCATTCTGTTCTACATGATACTGGGGATACATGAAAATTGTAGATTTTCATCAACACCCATGTGCAGAAACTTCCAAAGCGAACATTCCTTGGAAATAAAAACTGCAGTCCTAGATGTCATCATCTTCCCTGGGCTGTGAGTCACTCAGGTGACTGCATTCTGTATGGGCCCCCACAGGGGGCTTAAGAAATCTTAATTTGCCCAAAGATGCTAATCAAGCCTAGAGGCTTAGAGTCGTGAGCTTGCTGATGTGCTGTGTTTGTTTTAAATCAGACCGCCTACTTGGTGTGAGGCTGATCTCTGTTATTAAATCCCCTTTTGTTCTCCGTGTACACCCATCAATCTTATCCTCCAAATCAAATAGAGAAGGGATAGCATGTTTATAATTAAACCCTGTAAGCTGTTTCCAAATATCTAGTCAGTTGCCCTATACCAGTGCATCCATAAATATCCTTTAGTTATAAAGTGAAGCTTATCTTAATGGTACTTATAATCTCTTTTGCAGTGAAACAATGGCCTATCATCTCTTCTGGTTTTAATATAATTTAGACTATGGAATTTGCTTTGAGTTAGAGTATTATTCTGATTATCTTGATTGTATCCAAGACAGGACAGTTTTATCTAAAATAAGGGAAAGAATCACTTATAACCAATGCCAGCTAACTTTAAAAATTCTGAACTCATAACTATATTATCATTTGTGTTATTAGTTTGGAAATCAGTCATAGACTGTTAACTGTCCCCCAGTATTTACCTGCAACCTCTCCCCTTTAAACAGAATGCCCTCCTAAGTTCTGGCCAGGCACAGAGCCGCCCAGATAAAGACCACCTCTCAGCCTCCCTTGCAGCTAGGTATGGCCACGTGACTAAGTTCTCCTAAACAGGTCATGAGCAGAAGTGATGTGTGCAACTTCCAACTCTTGGCGTTTTAAGAAGTCTGAGTAGGTACTCTTCTCTCTCCCCTTCCCATTGCTAGAATGTGGACAGGATGCCAGCTTCAACCAAGGAGACATGAGCAACACCTTTGGTAAACAGGAGCAACAGGAGAGGAGAGTCTCAATCCCTGAGGAAGCCGGACCCCTGCCTTGCTCTAGGCTATTGTATGCAATAGAGATCTTGACTGAGCACTGGACTTTGTTACAGCCATTTAGTAAATAGCCAAAGATAGAAATATTAATTTAACCTTCTACTGTACAGCCCCCTTTCCTACAGAAAATCATACTTTCCCAGGTATACTTCTTACTGTGTGGGAATTCAAAAAAATAAGCATTTTAATCTGTATTAATATGTACATAGTACAGCATAGTGTGGAATTTCAAAGTGAGGGTTTTGTCAGGCCCCAGAATTCAAATATTGGCCACTTCCTAAGTTTTATGTAACTTTGGAAAAATTACTCATCCTTTCTAACGTCAGTTTCATCATCTATAATGTGATGGTGATAATGCCTATCTCATAGAGTTTAGTAAGAATTAAATGATAATGCATATCGAAAACATGATAAGTACTCAGTAGGTGTTAGTTCTTATGATAATGATAATGTTATTGTTACATTTAAGTGGCAAATTTAAGTAGCCATATAGGACAAAAAGTATTGTGGAGGATAGCTTCAATTCGTCCAGACTCGGATAAACCAAACCAAAACGGATGAAGCAAAATTGAAGAACCTTGGTTTTTCACCCATTGCCTTCCTCTTTTTTTTTCCCCAATGAAGCACCTCCTCCCCGTAGTTCTTGGCTTTTCTAAACTGGGAGCCAAGCAAGAATGGATATGTTCTCCTCATCTCATAAGTTCACCTAGGTATTTTTATTTAAAGCCTTTGTTCAGGGAATCCCAGGCCCTACATTATAGGTAATAGAGGTATTTGGTGGTGCCTCTTACTAAATTTATATTCAAACTCATTTTGTCACGGGTCCTTCATTGCGCCCTTCTGTTCGGTCACCACACTTTGTCCTCAAGCTCCCCAGTCCCTCCTGGACACTTGGCTTGAGGCACAGAAACACATGTTAGCTGTTCAGGAACTCAGCATATGAGGAGTGGAAAGAGTTGAAGGGGACAGAGAGAGAAGCCGTGTAATGACCAAACACAGGGCCACTCTGGCCCTAGGCCTGGGGAGGTTTGGGGGTGGGTGGTGCAAGGGGAAAGAGACAGTGTTGGGAACAATGGAAACTGGTCATTATAAGATCCGGGACATGTATATTTTAGGTGTGTGGGTTGTTGATGACAGTGGTAAAAATGAGGGAAGATAAACAGTGTAGGGTATTAGAGCGAATGTTAGCATAGAAACCAATTACAGATCCTAGAGTAATGAAACCAGAGGAGAAAACCCTAATTGCAGAGTTTTAGAAATCATAAAGTATAAAAAAAAATGAGGCATTAGTAGGAGTGCTGCTGCTGCTGAGGGTAGTTGAGGCAGACACCTTGACAATGAGAGCCCTGTGCACTCCTCCCTTGGTTAGCTGGCCCGCTGGTCACAGTGCAGCTCTCTGAGTAACACGTCATCCCTGCCCTCTGGCCAGAGTTGATTAAACGAATAGAAACATCTAATCCAAGACAGGCCCATCAGATTCCTTCTCTAGAATATAATAATCATTTACTCAACAGTTGCTTTTCACTTCTGGCTCTGACAGAGCAGACTAATGAACCCTCTTGCCAAGAAGAACGAGATGAGTTAAAATACCAAACCAAAAAAATTAAAGTAAATTAGCTACCAAGGTAGCAAGACCTGAGAGCTAAGATCCTAGAGAGAAGGAAAGGAAAGTACACACAGATTAGCCTGACATCTGGCAACACTTTTCTCCTTGAGGCATTTTAAAGAATGGCCGAGAGACTGGAAAGCTGAGAAGGGCTTTCTGCTTTCAGTTTTCTGTTACTGAGACCAAAAAAAAAGAAAAAAAAAAAAATCAGAGTTCAGGGCCTACCAAGAAAAAGAGTCCTAGAGACACCCCTAAAGTCTCCATTGGAATCGCTGGAGGGCTACACCCTAAGAATAAGGGCTCATTAGTACGAGGGGAGGTCATTGAGAAAACGTGACTACCACTTGTCCCCTGAGCTGGACCTGGACAATCAGAGGCTCCTTACCACCCCCACCCCGGTCCTTGGAATGTGTGCTCTGCTGTCTTCCCCATTCCAGAAGCTGCCCCAAGGGTATAGCTTTGAGATAGCGATGTAGCATTGAGACCATCTGGATGATATATGTGACCAAATCCAGTTAAGGCCTCTGCATAAACTTTTCAGATTTGGCAGGCAGGTGCAGAGATGCACTCCTCTTGTGGCCACCCGAGACAAGCCTCCTAAGTTCCCTTATTTATTAAACCCGCCACCTACCAATCTGGAATGGTCTGCCTCTTTCTTCCACCTCTCCCTGCCCTCAGCATAAGGGGGCTGGTTTCAGATTATACCCGGGAAGCTTCCAAGGAGGTTGCAAATCAACAACTAGAAATAAACAATCTCTGTAAAGACCGAAACACAAATTTGAATTAGCTCAATCTCAGATTGGATTAAGGTAATTAGCCTCTACCCTAATAGCTTTGTCCAAGCATCAGCAGCAAAAGTATATCCTCTCTGGGTGGTGATAATATCACCCAGAACTTCAAATGATCTCTTCAATTTTTCACGTACCATGTTCAGCACTCAATAGACCATTTAAGCAACCCAAGAGATGAAAATATAGGAGACAACAGACACAAACCTCCGAAGATCCAGCTGTTGGAGTTATCATTTACTCACCAGTTCACTGCCTACCTACCACATGTCATGAAGTGTGCTAGGCAATGAGAATATATTGAAGAGCAGACAGTTGTGACTCCTGCCTTATGGAGTTTTAGTCTGCTGGGACAGATCAACAATAATCCCTCATTTGAAGGGGAAGAATAAAAAGCCAGTGAGAGTCCATTAGATGGTCATAGGCAGGAAACTGTGAGATCATGGCAGGCGGTGGCCAGACCCCAGGCCCATGTGAATTTTAAAGGAGCAAAATGTAAGAATCTTACAAAGAAAGCTTGTCTACCACAGAAGAGAACGGAGTATATTTACAGAAGAAAAGCACAGATGCAAAAACATCTAGGCCCAAAGAGAGAACCAGAGAGGTCAAGAGTAGCTTCCTGATGGCTTTCTAGTTCCCATAAAGTCCTGTCTACAGTTCCCATAACTGGGTTCCAAGAGATTAACACTATACCGTCTTCATCAGCACTACTTTGACTTGAGCTTCCGTAAGTGAATTTCTGTTCCTTGCAACAATCAGGTTATCTGACAAAGACAGGAGCCATTTATGTGACCTAGAGACTATGATGTTAACTGCCATGTTGCAAAAAAGGGAAATCAATTCAATGTGTTAGCTTAGCTTGTTATGAATTTCATCCAGTTACACGAGAAAATCCCACTTACGCATGATCAAACTTACCCAGGGTAGTGGTATGTTGAAAACAGAAAACAAGAAGGGAGAGCAGGTGCCAAAGAGGGAGAGCAGATGCCTCTGTCCCCAACACAAAACTCCAAGTAAGTCAAGTTACCTTCCAGACAAGTGAAAATCTAAATGCAGTATTCAAACAAGTTTTATGATATTCCATTCACAAAACATATGCCCCGCATTTTTAGCCATGTAGTTGTTCCTTTTCTAAAAGTATCTTACTGTGTTTTATCTGTGCAGATCCCTGTCTTTGGCCTCTCCTCCTGCTGGTATGGCTCCAGTTAGAACGCCCTTCTGTCCAAATTGCATATATTCAAAGTGGTCCAGAAAGAGAGTGCTATGCAGAGGTAAACGGAGCAAGGGCACATAAAGGAACAGAATGCACTGGGGAGACATGCAGGAAGGTGGAATGGTACTTGGGGTTCAGCAAAACAAAACCAAAAACTAATTTAAAAGCACTATTAACTAAAGGACACTGGGCATAGTTGAATTCCAAGAGCCAGAACTTCAGTACTCTTTTGAGACCTTGACCAAATATCCTCTGGCGATGGTAATTGTATTTTCTTTCGACTCCTTTTGGCTTGTTCGCAAGTAGGCTAGATTATGTTCATTTACAGGTTCATGTTATTTATGCTTATTTACAGGTCCATCTGTACATCTACACGTACACCCACAGACACCTATGGTTTATGAATTTCAATCAAGCACTTCAAAAAAGAAATAAATGTTTCTGTTGGTGAATTCAGCATAGCACAGCTTAGAATTTCACCCATAGAAATGTCAGGTCCTTCTTCCCTCATCCAAATACACAAAAATGAAACAAAAGAAACGTGCTTCACTAAGTAAAATGAGCTAAAATTAGCAAGCAGCAAAGATGATGCCAGTTGCCCGGGGCAACAAATGGTTGATGGATGGAATAATTAAGATCGACAGTAAACTAATCTCTGTTCCTTTATTGAAAACGAAGTCCCCTGAATCAATTAGCCTTGTCATGGATACCTTTTATAAAACAACTATGACATCCCAACCACTTCCCTTTGTTTATAGATTCGCCCATCCTTCAGTAAGTGCAAAACCTAATTTCAAAAGCACCAAGAGATAATAATGGAAGATTCCGATACATTAGGCACTGCACAAACAAATACAGCCACAGTCCTTGAAAAATACAAATATCACTAAGTAGGCTCAGAAGACTCCATGCACTTACCCAAAGGCACAATATCCTCAAAGTTTTGCTGCTAAAAAGCCTAAAAGCCATCTTTTGCAGGCCAAGCATGGACCTGTCAGGCTAGAGATCTAACTCTATTGTGAGGCCAACCCTCACAAGTGATAGAGTTGGGAGAGCAAAAGGTGTCAAGAGGAAACTTACGGCACTCACACAGTCACTTTGGGGTCAAGAAACAAGATAAGAAGTTGACAGAAAGGACGGTGTTTGGGGAGAGGGTGGGGGCAGGGCGGTGGTGGTGCTAACATTCCATACCAAACAGATCAACGTGCAGCTACTGCAAGCATTACCCTGAAGTTAGGGAATAAATCGAAACTATTGGAGATGGCCAAGGAGAACTGCACTCTGATCTCTAGTGTTTCCGTGACCTGAATTTAAGCAATGGCTGTTACAATCACTTGAGAAGCTGAGGGATTCTACAGTCAATCAAAGGTCTTGGGGCAGAGGATTATGACTTAAGCATAAAACCCTTCTTGAGTTATTTTTATAGAAAATTCTGCTCATTTTATTTGTCTCCGCTCCTGCTTTTTTTCAGTACAGCAAAGCAAAGTCAGTTAATGTTTCTTTGATGGTGTGGGCTCTTGCAGCGCTTTCGAAGTAGTACTTATGAAAATCCTGGTCGGATACATTTGGGAAATAGGGGTTTAAACAGAGTTTAAAGGATTTCTTTGCTACAGAACATTTCAGGACATTTAATGTGAGTATCTGAATGGAGAACAGAGCTGGACGGTGACATAGTACATAGTGTTTCCAAAACTTTTTGGGCAGAGAATCAGGTTTTTTTCCCCACAAACATGTCATGGAACTATTTATTCCACAAAATACACTCCTAGAATTTGTATTTGAGAACATAAATGTAAATATAAAAGGTGCACAAGAATAGGCAGAACATGTCTTCTGCCCATTTCTTGATTGGATTCTTTGTTCTTTGGGTGTTGAGTTTGATGAGTTCTTTATAGATTATGTCTGATATGTCATTTATCTGATATGTCATTTGCAAATATCTTCTCCCATTCTGTTGCTTGTCTTTTGGTTTTGTTGACTGTTTCCTTTGCT